TTTCTCGACACTCTGTGTCCAGAAAAGAAAACACTTGTTCGAACACAAAAAAATTAAATAAAAACCTAAATCATAGTAACTTGTAACACACACACACACACATATATATATATATATATATATATATATATATATATATATATATGACAATATTTATGAATAAAAATGACAATAGGAAAACTGGTAATTGCGGACGCGTTTCGTCCAATGTGTACTTTTTTCATTTTCGTATTTTGTTTGATAAAGTCCACATTGGACGAAACGCGTCAGCAATTGCCAGTTTTCCTATTGTCATTTATTATATATATATATATATATATATATATATATATATATATATATATATATATATATATAGGCTCGATATTTACGATTAAGATATATAATGATGACTGGTGAAAGACTCATTTTTTTCGTACCTATGTTCAGTATAAAATCTGTGTCCTGGCCCGGTTTGTGATGCGCAAATGAACTACACTGGACTCATTAAAGTGTCCCACTCCCTTCAAAAAAGGAAAGAAAAATAATTAAGATTGCCAGAAAACAGTTCCACTTCAGAACGTAAAAGTGGGATACTATTCAGATAAATGTACTTGTTTATAAAAGAATGACGGTTGTCTTTCTATAAATAGCATTTGTATGACCCGCATAGGTTTCTGCTGTCATGTAAAATGCTGGCGCTATGTGAACCAATATAGAAAACAATTCGCTTTGTTCAAGTACAAAAAATATGCACGTCAAAACAGAGAAGCATTATTCTATTAAACATTCTAACAAATAATCTTTGGCTTTTTGCTTAGATTTTTAATTTTTTTTTTTTTTTTTGTTTTTTTGTGGTTGATGCATACGAATTAGTTACATTAATATGCGTTTGATTTGAATTATTACATATTACCAAAGAAAACAAGTAAAACGTATGGGCACATTGTAAGCAGAAACCAAAATTTACACAGTACATTTATCATGTGAACACATATAGTGAATATAATATCAATTCTAAATATGTGGAAATCTAATACTTACTTATTTTATGGAATATATTAATTTCACAAGCGTGCTTTGAGGATAGGAAAGGTTCGTTTGGGCTTCCCACGTAGAAGAAACTTTAATTGCCATATTTTGCATATGTTCTTCTATTTCTAAAAGGTATATATCCTTCACGGAATTGTAAATATAAATTCAGCAAAAAAAATAATTCATGCATGAAAGTGAAAATTAGACACGTAACAAATGCGTTTTGCATTTTGTTAATAGAAAATACGTTGAAAATGCGCTGTTATTGTTAGAAAATGAAAATCAGGAAGAAAAAGATTTTCAAATGGAAGGAATGAAGGCCAGTACTCCGACGTTTTTTGTTTTTCTTAATTTAAACGTTTATAAGTAACTATCATGTAATGTAATGAAATAGCTAGATTTCTTTAAATAACTTTTTTTTAAAAAAAATTCATATATCAAACGAAGTACTTTTTTATTCCATCTTGTTTCAGAATCAAAATATAGAATAGAAAACCAATGAACGTAATGCGAACTCTTATCTAAGTAATTTATACAGTCTTTATGATGTACTAATGTGGTGGTAGTACCAGTTAGGAACCTAGCCATGGGCAAATATTTAACCACCAAACTGGTATATAAACAGTATGAAAGTATGAAAATAGATTTTTATAGTAAAAAATTTCAGCAAAAATAAAAAAATAAAATAATTAGTACCAGCAATAAATTTTTGAGAAAAAAATATTACAGCAATAGATTTTTCAGAAAAAAAATATTATCAGCAATATAATTTTGAAATAAAAAAATACCAGTAATACATTATTGAAAAAATTTACCAGCAATACATCTTTGAAAAAATATTACCAGCAGTACATTTTTGAAAGAAAAAATATATTACCAGAAATAGATTTTTGAAAGAAAAAAATATTAAAATGAAAAAGATTTTTGAAAGAAAAAAATATTACCAGAAATAGATTTTTGAAAGAAAAAAATATTAAAATGAAAAAGATTTTTGAAAGAAAAAAATATTACCAGAAATAGATTTTTGAAAGAAAAAAATATTACCAGAAATAAATTTTTGAAAGAAAAATTATTACCAGAAATAGATTTTTCGCGAAAAAGCGTCTTTACAAAAATACGTCAATTAAAACTGATCTACAAACTGATTTCTTACAAAGAATATATATTTTCTTCATACGAACCTATCCTAAAAATCTTGCCGGTATTAAAATTCCCATAGAGATTGATATGCCGTAAAACAAAATAAACCAAATCAAATTCATGATGAGCTTATACTGCTGCACTATTTATCATTAATTTTTATAATAATTATTGTATTGATAATAACATTATAACAACAGTAAGCATAATGCATGTTAGATATTCATAGTGCTTGTGCCAGCACATTTCTATTCCATGTCCATAAACAATTATACCACGTATAGATAAGAACATTAGACAAAGTATAAATAATATATTGGTTTGGAACTAAAATTCTTAGCGTTTTTCAACATTTGGTGATTGAATACGTGATTTCATTTCCCGAGTGACCAAAGGTCATCTCGAATTATCGTCTTTTACCTTTTATTGGTGATGCGTTAGATTCTCTAATTAAAGCTGAATTAGTTAAGCATATTTCAATTCACACGAGCCTCTTTAAGATAAAATCTATGGCGTTCATTTCTCTTGGTCAACCACCAATGTATTAACGGTTATTACTGAATTTGTATGTCAGGCTTTAGATAAGAACGGTGAGGCTTAAGATGTGGCTTTAGAAATCTCGAATGCTTTTGACAGGGTATGACATGCTGGATTTAACTACACGCTCATTTATAAACTTACCATTCGTCCGCGTATGAATATTTCTGCCATATCTGTGCTGGTTTTACTGTCATGTATCTCGAGTTTCGCGACAAAATCTAGTAATGTAATCGATCCTGTTAATTCACCTATCCAAGTTCTCCACTGCCTAAACAAGGTATTGAACTCACAACTGTTTGGGTCCTGTCATCGAACAAACGTCTTTATCCACTGTGTCATGTGTCCTTGAGGACATCTGTGTATGGATATCTGGAACTTATATACTTAATGTCTTCAGCAAGGGTTTTTTTTGTTTTTTTTTTACTAGTGCTCATATAGCAATTTTTTCCTGTTATCACTGCATGTTTATTTATTTTTTTTTTTTTACCGGATCTCATATTGCTTGTTATTGATTGTCTCCAGCACTCCATATTGTATTCATTTCTATAATTGACCGGCTCAGGAGATTTTTGTGGCCTAGCATATGTGCTGATTCATTACCTTTACGAATTTTTCAATGATGTTCTTTGTCGATGACTTCAGCCTGATCTGAGAGAGGGCGGTTATCTCCCTTTTCTTTCTATATGTGGTCAGCCATGCCTGATTTTTCTAACCACCTGAAGAAGGACGGAGGGTACATCGGCCAAAACGTTGTGATAAATATGGCAACAAAATGAGGAAAATAGTCCGAATAAAGTAAATATTCATTTGTTTTTCCATGGTTTAATCCCCATTAAATTATTTAACATATTTCCTCCAATATAACAATTTTCCAAGAATACTTAGACAGCAAATTAGGTTAAATTTCTACTTTTTATATTTTTAATCTTAAAATATTGCAGAGAATTAACAATATAAAATTATGCTAAATACATTTAAATTCATTTAGGCACCGTGTCTCTTCAGCATGTCGGCGACCATACAATTTTCCGCCCTTTGTAGCTCTTAAAAAATTTTGTTTTTTCCTTATTATTCCTCAACTCTGACCTGCCATCCATTTACTCAAGTTTTCTAGATATGTTGTGCGATGTTTTCCTCTCTCTTTCTTGCCTTCAATTTGTCCTGCGAATGTTAAATTTTCCAAGTCCCCTTCCCTCATTATGTGCAAAGAACTTTCAACTGTCTCTTCTCGATGTTAATCATAAATTTTTTTGTTTCTGTTTGTTTAAAACACCCTCGTTGCTCAAATGTTGAGTTCATGTCATTCTCAGTATCCTTCTGTAGAACTACATTCCTGTTTCAAGTCTCTTCTTCATTTATGAGAAGATTTCCCAGCATTCACTGCCATAAAGGAGGATTGATATTACGTAACATTTTCAGCATTATTTTCTTTGTTTTTAACGAAATTTTCCTGTTTCTTAATACTTTGCTTACTTTTTGGAAGCCACTTTTTGCTAACACAATACTCATCTAGATATGTGTGTCGTACTTTCAGTCGTCTGTTAAAATATCTCCCAGATATTCAAATTATTGTACCCGTTTGATGATTTTATACTAGTTATTTTAAGCCTAATTTGGGTAAATTATGTTTTCGTATAAATGTTTGAGAACTTTATGAAAACGTAGAAAGAAAATAGGACATTTTGTATGTAACTATCCATCGATCTATTGAGGAATCATGATAAATATATATATATATATATATATATATATATATATATAAGGCTCAAACACTAATATTCCATGGTTATAATTAATTACGTTGGAATCGCAATTACGATTCAATTCATCAGACCTACAAATTCAAAAAGAAATTGGAAAATATAACTCTTGTATAAAAAAAACAAAATTTTAGTGAGAGTTTATGTGTGGGAGTGAGAAACAAGTGTGAGAGGGAAATGTATGAGCTCTAGAGAGAGGTGTAATAGAAGAAAGACGAACAGGAAGGCCTAAAGGTGAAGGAGGGGATTGATGTTTTAAGAGAGGAGTTAAATAACGGTTTAAATGAGTGAGATACAGATAAATATGAATTATATTCAGATGCATACCGATTTTCTGACTTAAAATTAAAAAACAGACACAGGAAACGTGTGTATACATTTGTGGTGACACTATGCACAATAAAATAACGATATGATCTAAACTTAAAATCCAGCCAATTCATACACATATCTATATATAAAAATAATTGTTGGTAAACGTTTCTGTTAAAATTTAAAACGTTTCTGTTAAAATTTAAAACGTTTCTGTTGAAATCCTTTTCAATGATGAAACTCGTTACACAGAATCCTATCTATCTATCTATCTATCTATCTATCTATCTATCTATCTATCTACAAACCGTGTCAATAAACAAAATTGAAATTCTACAATACAGAATAGAAATGAAAATGTCATCACAGCCAGTGGCCGAATTTGTCCCTGCAAGGTGCCTACAGCAAAATTAATTTTCTCCGGGTACCACCCGTCATTTTTCTCTGCAGTTCTCTTCTGTCATGGTTTATTGCAAATTAATTAAATGTATAAGAGGTTTCAATTATATGAGAACTTAACTCTGTAATATTAATTAAATCCTCTTTTAAAATCTATTAGACATTTTGCCAATGGCGGGTTTGGGACTAAAAAAATATTGTTAAGTTTAAGAGAATTTTTCTTAGTCTTCTTTCATTGGGCATCAAATCTTCATAAAGTCTTTCTTCTGTAGAATGTACACGAAACTTCCTTAATTTAAGTTGAATGACCTGTTCATCAATCTATTATCAGAAGCAAATCATTTTAGGTAATTATTCTTGGACATTTTTTATAAAGGAAGAAATGATAAAAAGAATAAATAAGACAGGACGAAAGGAAGGAAGGAAGAAAGAAAGAAAGAAAGAAAGAAAGAAAGAAGAAGAAGAAGAAGAAGAAGAAGAAGGTATCTACTACAAAGAAAATAATGGATGAAAAATGATACAGAAACGAGAGCGTAAAGAATAAATAAAGTGAAAAAAATAACTTTAGGTTTCAAATGAAAGCATAAAGAGCTTGTTTTATTGTTGAAATAATTACGACTTTTCTTTTAGTTACAAAAACCAAAAGTGTTTTATGAGAATGTGTTCTGTAGATAGGCAGTTAACTGTCGAAAGTATGTCATACACAACTTGCCTTTCAATGCCATTTAAAGAAAGAAAGAAAGAAAGAAAGAAAGAAAGAAAGAAAGAAAGAAAGAAAGAAAAGAATAATGGTTACGAGAAGCGGGGGACGTATAATTTTATGAAAGATGACAAAGTGGCCATTGACCGGATGCAATGTGGTAAGGTGTAGAGAAGTAGAAAGTTAGGGAGAATATAATACTAAAGATGGTGAAAGAGAAAGGTAATAGAAGAAGAAGAAGAACAAGAACAAGAACAAGAACAAGAATAAGAAGAAAGAAAGAAAGAAAGAAAGAAAGAAAGAAAGAAAGAAAGAAAGAAAGAAAGCAAGCATTGACTGGACGAATAGAGAGGACAGTAAAAAAGGATAAGTACAACTGTAAAAAATGAAAACTAAAAAAATGAATGAAAGATAAACTACGAGAAGCTGAGTAAAAAAAAACTACATTTAGGGAGGGAAGAGAGAGTCAGGATGAGAAAAAGAGAGATAAAAATAAGAGAGTGAGAAAGGAAGTATGTGTCTGAGAGCGAAATACAGAGAAGTGAAAAAAGATAAATAAAAAAAGAGAACAGCTAGGAAAATGAAAGTCTAAATAAAATAGCGAGGGAGAGAGAGAGGAAGAACGTGACTGAAAGAGAGGTACACTGAAGAGAAAAAGATGGAGAAATAAGAAAGAGGACAGTTAGCTATGGAAGAATCAAAGAGATAAAGATGAAGTGGGGGAGTGGGAAAAGGAGAATTGAAAATGATAATGAACAAAAGGGAGAAAGCTAGCGAAAGGAAAATGTCATAATTTAGACTTCTAACCTGAAGATAAAAACTCTCCTAGTCGAAGAGTATATAGTTTGAATTTGCCCCGGATGGATCTGTGGTAATGCAGATCACCGACACAGCACCAGTGATTGAGTGAATTATAGTTACTATACATCTGCATTGGGCTTAGGACCACACTGTAGTGGATTCTCGAAAATTCTACAGCCTTCAATTAACTGTTCTTCTAGTGGAACAATTTTGATATTTGGAACATTTGTCGACTGCTGAGTCCCGCTGTGCACTTCACCGAGGTGCTCACCCTTAACGGACGGTCTCCCTTGGCGACTACTGCAGTGATGGCAGCGGGCAGCGGGCTTTTCGCACTGAGATTAGGGCGGATTTTTCACTAGGAGCCCACAGCATTCATTTCCCGGCCACTCTTCTTTCTTTCTTTCTTTCTTTCTTTCTTTCTTTCTTTCTTTCTTTCTTTTTGTTCTCTTTTTTATTTATATTTTGTATCTTAATTTCTTCTTTGTTCACAATTTTTATTTTTTCCCATTTTCTCTTCGTTCTGTTTTTCTTATTCTTTTTTCTATCTTCATTTCTTATATTTTTCTATATTTTCTCTCAGTATTTTTTATTCTTTCTTTATTCTCTGTCTTTCGTATTTTTTTATTTTCTCATTCATTATCTTTATTTCTTTCTATCATACTCTTCTCTGTCTCTCTACATTTTCATTTAATCCTCCTTGCTTTTCTTTTTTCTCTTTTGTTCAGATTTCCTCTTCTTTCTTTCTTTTTTCTTTCTTTCTTTCTTTCTTTCTTTCTTTTCGTTTTTACTTTGAATTTTGCGTCTTCCTTTCATTCATTCTTTTCTCACACA